ACAAGCTCCCTCCAAGGGACAATATGAACTAGAAAAAAAATAATCACAAAATTTCATCCAGTTGAATCAGCCAAATATTTGTTCATCCTAAAGTCAGTTATGGGTTTGGGGGGCAGNGTTGTGATCAATTTTTTAACTGTCTTCATATTCCAAAAGTGAAACAATGGAAGAATATGTTTTGGTATGGTCTGGATTTAATAATACATTGAAGGATTACATTAATGTTATATTAAAAATATACAAATTTTATTTTTCCCTTTTCCCACATTTTTTTCCTGCTCATATATTCAGTTTCTTTTAATTACTATAACATATGTGTACTTGTTTTGTACAATAGGTTTTACTGGCAGATAACCCGGCATTGCCTGAGTATTTATTTATAGGGGGGAAATTTCTGCACCAAATGTAATTTCTAATGTTGGATAAAAGTTCCCTAACTTCCCACCAAAGGATCCACACAGGCGAAAAACCATATAAATGCATAGAAAGTGGAAGAAGCTTCAGGACAAGCAAGTTTCTTACTTCCCATAAAATAATTTTTATTGTTTTTATTACTGTGGAAAGAGCTTCAATCTCTCTAGCAACTTTACTTTCCACAAAGCAATCCATACAGGGCAAAAGCCCTATCAATGCATAAAAATGTAGAAAGAGCCGCAATCATACTAGCACCCCTACTTCTTACAAAAGGATTGACACAGGAGAGAAACCTTATCAGTGTGTAGTGTGCAAAGATTTTCAACAACTCCAGCTATCTTGCTTCCCATAAAAGGATCCACACACAGGGCAAAAGAAAATACAAATGCCTAGCATGTGGGAAAGGTTTTACTCAGAGCTCTCACCTTACTTCAAATAGAAAGATCCACAGTGAGGATTAACTATTTGAATGCATAAAATGTAGTAAAAGCCTTTTATTTTGCAGATTTCATCATCCATGATGGAAAGTGCATGGAATGTTTCAGTGTAAACTTTTTACTTGTCCTCAAAAGGAGCTATCTGTATATATCCCAAATTTGCTATTAACTTTACTTAGCTATTATCACATTTGGCTTTTGAGGGTGAACAGTGTCCTACCCTTCAAACACTGGTTGTGTGTAGGAGGAAATCTAAATTTGATTTTCAGGCAATATGAACATTAATAAGTAGACATTATACAGTACATTCATTCCCTTTTTTTAAAAAATGATTGATCTTGTCATGTTAACAGTTACAGTCAAAAGGTGGTTTTGAAAGCCACACCGACATTTTCCAAGGGCCAATGTGACTCTTTGGCTTGTGATTTTGCATTTACTCAACTTCCAGATGATAGAATTGACCTGGCTTTTTCTGTTTCATAAAAAATAGTGTCATGAATTACCAAATTTGCTTTTATCTGAAGCTAAATGATGTAATATTTAAATGAAAAGGCTGACCCACAAGCTTACCTCAAAATTATAGAATTTTAAAATCTCCAAACATTGTACTTTTTCTTCTCAAGTTAAATGCCTTGCCTTCAGAAGTTGTAGAAACTTCTTCAGTGAGCCTAATAGAACCTCCAAAACTGTTCTAACATGCTGGTCTCAAATATTCAATGTCTTCATGCAGACTTCCATCATTGGTGAAGAATTGCATCTCTGAGAGGGGAAAAAATAAAATCAAGATAAATGCAATGTATGCAGAGGAACCTAATTTTCAGAATTTAGATTAATATTAAATGTGCTTTTCTCTCCCACCTAAATTTGCCTCAAATTATTTATTGAAGAGTGACCAGCATTCAACATGTTATTCTAAATAAAAATATTTATAGAGTGATCAACCCTAAATTATATGTTGAGTAAGGCAACCCTATAAATCTAAATAAACAAAAAGCCAGGCACAGATAAAACATTAATTCAGACTTTAGAAACGCCAATGTTTTATATAAATTAAATATGTGCCAAAGACACGGTAATAAATAATATAAACAAAAAGTTCAAATTGTTTAAATATAACAGTTAATAAATTCCTTTGTCAAAAAGAAGAGGTATGTCAACCTGCAGCATGGCACTTGGTAAATATGAAAAAAAAATTAACTGTGTTCTAAGAAAACACTACAATCACTGCTCAAGGACGCTCAGATTTTTTTAAATCTTTGCCCTAGATTCATCCTGGGTCTTTCAGCTCTTAAACCACACCTACACAATTTGTAGAGGGGAAAGGGTTAGATTAATATCCTAAAAATAATTGCAGGCTACACAGGAATATCTGACACATCAATCAGTATGCAATAGCAGCAAATGAGTTTTTGAGGTGTCTGTGACGCCTACAGGTTTTGCTCAGCAGTGTGTCTTTTGGAGGAAGTGGCTGCAGAAAAGGTGGTTGAGCCTTCTTGGTTGCACAACTTTTGGGAGCAATGGATTTAGTTTTCAGAAAAACACGCGTTGTACACGCCCACATTTAATTTTATGCATTTAGAGGTAAGAGGAAAAAGGAATGCAAAAAAACAGTCACAGGAAGAAGTGGGTACAGAGCAGAAAAACTAGTGAAGTAGGAAATTAACATACTGTAATAGATTACACTAAGTAATTGTTTAATGACCAGTTCACTTTGTGCACTTCTGGATATTCAGCTGATGGAATCTCTCTGTTTTCACCCCTTATCCAACTCCGCCTCTTCCATTGACACATATGGTGGGTCATACAAGCCTATTGCTAGTTTTTAATCAAGTACCTATCTCAATACTTCTCTCCACTTTGAATAGACTCATGGAATTGGGAGAGACTTTGATGGTCTTTTCATCCAATCATCCTCAAGAGCCGAGGTGGCGCAGTGGTTAGGGTGCAGTACTGCAGGCCACTTCAGCTGACTGTTATCTGCAGTTCAGCGGTTCTAATCTCACCGGCTCAAGGTTGACTCAGCCTTCCATCCTTCCGAGGTGGGTGAAATGAGGACCCGGATTGTTGGGGGCAATATGCTGACTCTGTAAACCGCTTAAAGAGGGCTGAAAGCCCTATGAAGCGGTATATAAGTCTAACTGCTATTGCTATTGCTTGATCAGGTGAACCTACAACATTCCCGAAAAATAACTATCCAATCTTTCTTGAAAACTTCCAGTGATGGAGCACCCAGAACTCCAGGAGGCAAGCTGTTCCACTGATTGTTTTGTCAGGAAATTTCTCTTTAGTTCCAGGTTGGATCTCTCTTTATAGAGCGTCCATCTTGTCCTGTCCTAAGGTGCTTTGGAGAGTAAGTTGACCCCTTCTTCTCTGAGATGGCCCTTGGGTACTGGAAGATTGCTATCATGTCACCCCTACTCCTTATTTTCATTAGACATATCTAGTTCCCTTAACTGTTCATCATACCATTTAGCACCATATCATCTTTGTTGTTGTTCTCTCTATTCTTTTTAGGGTCTCAGCATCTTTTTTGTATCATGGTGACCAGAAGGGGATGCAATATTCCAAGTGTGACCTTTCTAGTGCAGTATAAGTAAAAGCAGTGCTATCACTTCATCTTGATACAGCCTGTTGATGCAGCTTGGGAATGTGTTGGCTTTTTTGGCAGCACACTGGTTCATATCTAAGTGAAAACCTAGATCGTTTTCACACATACTTCTAAATATTCCTCCCTTCCTTCATCAACAGATTCAGGAGGAAACCTCTCTGCTCCAACACCTTTACTCCCTGGTCCTTTGACCAACATTAGGTGGCCATATTGGACTATTAACAATAGCAATAGCAGTTAGACTTATATACCGCTTCATAGGGCTTTCAGCCCTCTCTAAGCGGTTAGACTTATATACCGCTTCATAGGGCTTTCAGCCCTCTTTAAGCGGTTTACAGAGTCAGCATATCGCCGCCCCCAACAATCCGGGTCCTCATTTTACCCACCTCAGAAGGATGGAAGGCTGAGTCAACCCAGAGCCAGTGAGATTTGAACAGCCGAACTGCAGAACTGCAGTCAGCTGAAGTAGCCTGCAGTGCTGCATTTAACCACTGCGCCACCTGGGCTCCTCCCTCCTATTGGTTCATTGTTAGGTCAGGACTTTACACTGCCATTCTCTTTTTCAGTTTAAGCACCTTTACATATGCCTTCCTTCTTCCTCTTTTTTATGAGGGAAAATTTGGAGGGAAACTCCATTTCTACACTACCTTGTCCATTGACCAATAGTTGATGGCCATATTGGCTTTTTGGTTCATTGTTAGGTCAGGATCTTAGATCAGTTCACTTTTTTTCATTTTGAGCACATTTACATACATCTCCTCCCTCAATGTTTTTATGAGGTAAACTCCATTTCTACCGCCGCCTTGTCCACTGACCAATAATTGATGTCCATATTGGTCTGTTGATTCATTGATAGGTCAGGACCTCACATTCATCACTCTCTTTTTCAGTTTGAGCACATTTACATATGCCTCCCTTCTCCTTCTGTGTCTTTATGAGGGAAAGTTTATGAGGAAAACTCCATTTTTACCACCATTGGTAAATTATTATCCGTCGACCAATAATTGATGGCCATACTGGCCTGTTGGTTCGTTTTTGGCCAGGATCAGTCCTGGGTCACACTCTTCTCCCCTTGGCATTGACGGCAACGTTTCTTCCGACAATCTTTCCTCTCAAACTCCTTGAGCCTCCTCTGATTCTCCTCTGGGGACTCCTTTCTCCTGCTCTCCAACTTCTAGCATCACCCCTTGAATGAGGCTTGGGTCCTGGCCTTTTCCTCTCCAGCCTGCCTCCTTTGAACGGGTTTAGAAAACCGCTCGGTCTGAGGGACCTGCGGGGAGCGCAGTTCCCGCGGCCGAGACAAGAAGCAAGCCAGGATGAAAACAATTCGGGAGGACGGAGGGAAGTTTAGTCTGCACAGCAACCGCAGACGCCTTCAACCCCGCTGCATTCCCATTGGTCAATCGTACCCCCCCCCTTGCCAATCCCGGCGCGGCCGCGGGAGGCGGGATCCTTGACGAGAAAGCGACCCGCCTATGTACCGGGCGGTTGGGCGGCTCGGCTGCCTGTCCTGCTGGAGGCTGGACGTGGGCGGAGACGGAAGCAGGAGTGTCTCGTGGAACCTTTAGGGGTCCTTGTTGCAGGTGAGTCCGGAATGCGGGGCTGAATCTGGATATCCGGGACTCCTCTAGTCCAGGCTGAGCAAGCAGGCTGCCTCTCCCTCTCTGATCTCTCAATGCGGAGTGGCTGTGCCTCCTCCCGGGGAGGGGGAGGCGGAAATAGCGCGCCCAATGCCCCTTCCCTGCCAGAGTTCCCCCCTGCAGATCCAGGAAAGGCTCTCAAATACTGTGATTAAACAATGTGTGTATATGTACATATACATATACGTTGTGTGTGTATATGTATGTATGCATGTGCATGTGTATGTGTATGCATATAACTGGCTGACCAACCGCACTCAACATGTAGTCCTCAATGGAACTGCATCTACATGGAGGGAAGTATGCAGTGCAGTA